GTGGCAGCCGCAGCACTCGGATGCGAGCGAGTTTGTGGTACAATGATGTGCAGGGAAAATCAATACATCTAACGAAACTAACTTCTGGCCTCATAACTTTGTGAAGCCGTAGCGCGTGTTGGTTTCAAGTGATCTACGGATATGTCGCTGCTATTCCAGATTGTGCGAGTGACTGACACACTCTATTCATCAAATGAAATGTAACTTATTGTCGACTTCCGACTTACCTGGGTAGAGGATGATAAGAATGTTCGCCATGGAGGGTACAGACGCACCACATGCTTAAAATGTTAACCTTAATAGGTACTGATCCATGGACACGAGTTGCGGTGCCAAATAGCGCTTGCGTAGCGCTTGGCGAGCAGCGTCATCGCTAGGCGTCTTTGCCTCGGAGTTGATAATCCACCCGGCCAAAGATTGGCCTGCGAATTGGCGAAGTCTATCTTTAGCGCTGGTTGTTTAAAAGACATAGTATTATCTTGCCCGGATACACGCTAGGGACTCTTTACAAAACGCGAGCACTCTCGTTCACCCATAGATCATGTATATTTTGCTCGTCGAGCCTATTTACAATGAACTTGGCTCGTAGCCTTGATTGTTACTCAGCGCGGTTAGCACACTAAAATTATCTCGTTCTGGTATCGGATTCGGTGCTCAAATGAGCTCATTCGCCTGCACAGAAGTGCTTAAGATTGTTTTCTTTCTTGACAGATTAGCATTGCTCTCACAGTCTATCATATCTTGTTCGATGATACACAAAAGTCTGATAATCTTCATCCGGTAAAGTCATACTGTCTTGTTTCAAGGAAAGCAACCGTGATATTATTTTTAATCCACTGCTAAAGCCGTTAGACAGAGTGACAAGAATGTTAACTCGTAGTATCAACATTCCGATGGGGGAGGGTATAATGGTGGTACACGATAATTCCTATACTACAGTATGGGAACATGTAATGTGTGGTGTACCACTCATTTAAATAATAGTCTTTTCAGGTAAGAAAGATAAGTCACGATTTACTCTAGTGGAAAGTAAAACCTTACCTTAAGTAATTAAATGAATTTTACCCCGCGTATTAATTAGTAAATAAAGGTCAGTGTTCCCTTCGATCAGCTAAGGACGCGTGCCTTCCGAAGGCGTCTTTGATCGTTTACGGAGCCTGCAAACCTTGTGAAAGCATCACCTCTATCACGTTGTGATGTGGATTCACTTAGCGACATTTAATCTATCACATTATGCTGCGGTTTCTATTTTGTCCCTTGAACCAGGAATAGTAGCTCTCTGATTGTTTTGGCTCGCAGCGTCATCATTCAGCGATCTTCTTGACTCGCCAAGTCGTTGTTCACTGACCGTTTAGACTCGTTAAATCGTTGGTATCGTTTGAAACACGTGGCTCTTTGAGCCTTAATCCTTCCTCTGGCATTAAAATATACCATCCCCGTTATAGCTTGACTTTGCAGCTATGCATATGTTTCAAGAGACGTCAGAACTCGAGCGTCGGCAATTAAGTTATCTTAGAAATTAATTTTGGTGGCACTACCGGATTAAGTTTGAAGGGGCCGAAACCTGATTTGTCGTTCCCAAATCCATTCAATGTCTCGGTCTTGTTCTGGACTTTCCTCGGGTTTATGAGGACTTATTCCGTGAGTAATTCTATCTTAAGGAGTTGGCTCTCAATAAAGTAGGGACTTATTTCCTCAACGCCATCTAGCTGTGGAATCGCCACCACAGTCAAATAGTTAACGGTTGACTCTTCGATTGACCATGCATTACCATGTTGATCGTCATGGACAATTGTATTTAATTTCCCTAGGCGTCGTCTTCCAGAAGAAAATATACATGTTCCAATCCACTCACATATTCAAGTGGTGAACCTTCGGCACTGCCTGTGTTTCTACACAGCTGCAGGAAGCTCGCTGCACGGTGCAGCCGTCTGCTACACTGAGGTCTTGTGCAGTCGTACCAAAGATTGAGCTACGAGTGAGACCCTATCTTTTGACTGTAGAATATTCACGCGATTGTGAACGCTCCAAGACGTTCTTCAGATGGATCTTCGATGAGCAAGTGACAGGTGTATCGACGGATCGATGCTGATATCTCAGCGTTTGATCGTACTTTCTTATCCAAGTTAATTCTATGATGACATCCAAATTTGTCGTCTAAGTCCAGTCTGATGAAGTTTCCTTTCTTCACCGTTACGGACGCGAATGTTAAAAAGTCACACCGTCATCATCGTAAGAGGTATCGCACGCTCAATGAAAGTGATCCAACTATCATCTATCTGCTGGCGTCGAATGAAATTATTTGACGCCCAACAGTCGATTAGGGACCGAGGTAAGAAGTATTTTGCTACTTCGATATCTAAGGTAATGCGGGATACCTTACCACCAGGGGCAGTAACACAACGAATGTGTGTTAGAAGTAAAAATTTTCAAGAGATCTGCAAATTCTCTTGGTGTTGCTGGATCAACAGGGCGCTTGGTCCCTACTGACCCGCCCGTTTTGATGGTCCTCGACGTTGTTACAATTTTGTAGCAACATCAAACCTGTGCCTCGGGCCTTTTTGGTCGACGGAATGTCGTTGCGTACTTGTGTAAGTAACACTGAATTTTGGGTATTACACTCATAGGTGTAGTGCCCTGTATTTTGGCAACGATTGCATATCGGCAATCTTTCGTACATTGGATAGCGTGTACGTTTGCTATCCACATAACAGAGGTCCATGGGCTCAGAACCTCCGATTTCCTGGTGTTTTGCAGAACGATATGTAGAAGAACTAGATTGGGCATGTCTTAAAGTTTTCTGTTTTGCAACAAAGATTGCTTGATCTAGTGATATCAAATCCATTTAGAACAGATGAGTCTTGACGGTACCATCCGCAAGACCCTATGGAACAATGAGTTTCGTGTGTTGATCCATCGGATCGGCAATTATATAACCCGAAATGTATTAGCTGTCCTGCGCGTAAGTGTGCACATCGTCTTTAACTTGTTCAAATTTTAAGTACTCAGCACAAGCCTAGATATCGGCTCGTGGTGGTTCAGCTCTTTTCCGACCGGGACTAAGACTTACAACACCCAAGCGAATATGGGTCGTGGAAATTAAGCCCTGAGGCCCAAGTCTTCGCACGTCCAGATAGCTTGAAATGGGCGAATGCAGCTTGCGCCTCATCGTCTACGATGTGAAGAGCCCTTATGACACCGTCAAGATCGACGAACAATTGCAATAGGAAGTCTACCTCGACTTCTCTGTGCTTGTAGATGTCACTTCAAGGTTTCGAGACGATGCGTATGCGTCAACCCGCCCACGGCAGCATTTAAATTCTGCTGTCGCAACAGCTCTTCCTGTTGACCATCGAGGCATCTTAACTGCTCGGCCTGTTGAGAGCCTTGTTTGTGAAGCGAGACTATATTTGCATAATTGGCGACAAGTTCACTACAAACAAACTTGGCTGTAGCCGCATGTTGACGGTCGTTGTCAAGAGCATCCAAAATGGCGCTGATGGCGATTTCGGCAACGGTTGAACAAATTACTTTTACCACAATTCATTCGATGTCACTCAAATGTTAAAGCTTTCACGCATGGCGTGAACTTTTTCCTCTTCATCCAACATCTTCATGCTGAAAGAGGTGATCGGTTCTCATTAAACGGACCACTGAGTGTTACCAGGTGTAACACGGAACGCCCTTACCTACTACAGGTAAGCCCTTGTGTGTTTTGCAACACAAGGAAGGGTGCGTGCTCCCGATCGTCACGTACACGCGAGCGTGAGGAGATGCGAGATCGAGAACAGACCTAAGGAAGCTCTGAGTAAGGGGAAATGTAGAACTGTATCTAAAAGGGTATCTTTCTTTTGATTAGCTCTCTTTGTCTTAGTTTAACGATAGTAAACTGCAATCTTCGATGTAGGTCTCTCGCTCACCCCCAAGGCGCGCATCAAGCAACGATAGCCACCTAGCAACGATAGGTGGCTAATTTGGTTGGTACACAAGGCCCTATATCAAATAAAAGGTGGAGCGGCCACAGAACATTACCCTTGAAGGTGTATTTCCATCAAAATCTCCTAGCCAGGTAACATTAATGAATGTTATCGACTACGATAACATTCACATCGATATATTAAAACGTCAATGACATGTAACAGGCTCACCCTTTTACACACGCACTGCAATACTTGTGCTCCCTCCCACATTTTCGTTTTCAATACGGTCAAGGACTTCTCGTCTCTTGCGTGTCTGGTCAGTAAAAACACTAATCCGAATCAGCTGCAGCTGATTAAATGTTGTGAGCGAGGCTGTCGATCAAAACTTGTTGCACAAAGAAGACACATGCCCTGGAAAATAAGTAGCTTATTCACTGGTAGCTACGCACGTTTACACACATGGTGATTTTGGTCTGACGTGCTTTAGCGAACGATCGAGTGGTACGGCTGGAACGCAAATATGCATTTATTTTTTCCAGACGGGTCGAAACGAATCAGAACAGCAATAGCTGCGACTGGTAGCGGAGGCCATACCGTTTTGGTGCTGGCACGTCGATGAGGCTAAGTCCATGCCTGCCCATAAACAGCTTTGAACAATGGTATGGACCGTTGAGCAGTGTACCGAAGTGTAGATATCAAAGCAGGACTTTCCAGTTCAACGCGTGTGTCTGTCTACCTTTCGACCACGGCCATCGATGAGATGTGTGTAAGTAAAGTTGCAACCGTACGTTTGACCTTCATATCGCTGTGGAGCTCCGATGGTACGTGCTGTCCACTGAGATAATTGTGAACTGTTCCCTCATCAAAGTGAGTGTGGGTGGGATATAAACCCATCCACTGCCGATGTCTATGACGTCTGTCCGGGCGACTTCACTCGCCATAAGCTCGGGTTGTCCAGTTGGACCTCAATTCTACTAGCATGCACGGCTGACCAGCGCAATGTCATCGTGCACCCAAGTGTTGCCCAACCGAGCCGTTCGCACTTGCCCACGCCTTCTTGCTCAGCGAGAAACCCGTGATTTATCCGACAGTAGTGACATTCTCTACCACGTCCTCCTCGAATTCGAGCGGAATGAGCTTGATGTCGCAACCGTCCCGGTGCGGGTTCAGTTCAATGACCGTGTCTTTGTACGACTCCAGATATGGTACCTTGGCCGCCTCGCACCCGGCAAAATAGCCCATGAGGCATCGCAAGATCGAATCACTGCAAATCACCAGCACGTCACGCTTTTTGCGCTCAAACTCTACGATCAGCGAGCGCAGGCGCGAGATCACGTCCACGTAGCTTTCTCCACCTACACCGGGGTAACGATAGCGCAGTTTGTCTTGCAAGCGCGCTGCGTAGTGTTTCGGGTAGAAGCGCTCAATCTCCTCGTATGTGAGACCCTCAAAGTCACCGCCTCCTAGCTCGTTAAGCAGCGTGGTAGTCACAAAGCGCTTCAAGTTGCAGGTTGGGAGGTAAGCTGCCGTTTCTCTCGAGCGCCTCATGGGACTTGTCCACACTTCCATCGGTCGTTCGAGCTCGAGCTTCTCGACAAAGCGCGTAATGGCACGCGCCACACGGTGTCCATCCGCCGACAGCTCCGAGTCGAGTCCGAGGATACCATTGCAGCTCGTAACACTTGGGCCTGGGTGAACCAGCCAGATCCGACGCGGTCTCAAGTGGATATTTTGCAAGAGCGACACAACGTGACTTTGTAAAAAGCCTTGGCAGTACCGCGCCTGGATTTTCTCGCCGGCATTGTACACCTTGACGTAGCACGCCTGGCCACCGTCCTCACTGTCCTCAACGGTTTCGTACACTTTCTCGTACTCCTGCACGCGCTGTCGAAAGTCCGCAAGCGCCACTTCCGGGTCCTTGTCCTTATAATCAGCATTCAATAGCTTGCTACAAACAACAAGTAGGCACGCACATACACACACACATAACCGCACGAATACGCAATCTCACGTTACCATCACCACCTCAATCGCAAGATCCTGTACGAGCTGCAACCCACCGGCGGTAATTGGCCTCCAGCAGCTCCTCGTTGTCGCAAATGCTCTCGACAAACATGACGCGCACGTTACGGTGCGAGCGCACCTTTTCTAGAATATGGTGCCTGCAGCAGTCATACCCGCGTCATCCAGTAAGATCTACATGAGTCGTGTTTCCAGTGCTCCTCCACTTCCCTCCTACTGCGTACATACCTGCGCAACTTGGTCGTGTTCGTCGCATCAAAGACTGCAACGTGTCCCTTCGTCTCGATCCAGTCCAGTAGCTCCTCCAGTGCATCCATCGCCATCTCTTCCCGCAGCCGCGTGGCAGTCGCGTTGCTGGGGCTGAAAAACGTAGCGCCCTCCCCCGTTTTGCCCAACCGACGCCGCACGTCGCCCACATTGAACATGCGCGTGGGAAACCCGAGCCACTCAATGTACCGCATCGTCTTGTGCACGACAAAGCTCTTGCCACGAGCCGGCAGCCCCACCATCACGAGCACGAGCTTCTTCTGCGACGTGATGAGGCCGTCGTCCGTACTCGCGTCCGTGTGGTGTCCCACTGTGGGGCAATCGCTCTGCGCGCCTTTTGTCCACATCCACTGCGACTTGCGGTCGTCGCCCAAACTGTTGAGGCGCTTGAGGCGCTGGTGGGCAAAGCGCCGGTGCATGGTCTTGAACACGAGCAGTCGCTTGCAGCCGTCGCGCACTGCGTCTTGCAGCGTCTCGCGGTACAGCACCACCTGCAGCGCGAGGGCCACTGCCAGCGCCACGGACCAGTTGTGGTCGCTGGCGCTCGGGAGACTCGGGAGCTGGAGCTTCATGGGGCTGCAGCCGAGAGACACTGTGGGGTACGAGTGGGTGTTGTAGTGTGGGGGGTGGGGGGTATGGGTTCCTCCGGATATGTTCCTCCGGATGGGTTCATTTTCGTTGCGTGGGTTCAACAACAAACGAGTCGCATTTGCCCGTCGCGTGGGCAAAAAACGAGACCAATGGGTTTGTCGAAGCGGTCAGATCGCGTTCGATATGATCCAGTCGAGCGACGTGAGGAAAGGCGTCGATGGAAAAAAGTACTTGTTTAATTGAGTCAGTGGCTGTAAAAAGAGCTCATTTCTAAATACGTGGATCGACGATCGTGTTTTGCGTCATCATCCAGTACGTGTTGACAGCTAGCGACCAATCTATGTCGTATGCGACAAGCAAAACATAAACCACATGCAACGTTTGTCCAGCTGGTGCTCGTGCTGCCCTATTCGCTTGTTGCCAGCGGAGATGCCCCGTTTCTGAAACAGACGTCTGCGTATCGGAGCCGCTGACCAAACGTGCAGTGACGCAAAAAAGGTGCGAAATGTGTGCCTTTGGCACAAAGAGAGCAGCAAATGGCCGTTGTTTGCACCAGCGCTGACAAGACCGACTGCCTTTTTCGACTGCCAATGGTATCAATCAGCAGCTCACGGTGACTTGTCCTGCGTCAGTGCATCTTCATTCACATTCGAGTGCGTGTAGGAGGAGAACGGCATTGGCGTGATAGCAAGCAGAGACGAGCACGATGGGGCGCTGGAGACGACAAAGGTGAGCTGACTGGTGCCATTGCCGACATGAGCTACTCTTTGGTTGGTACAGGCAGGCTCCTGTGTAGAGGATAGAACGAGTTGGCAAAGTGACACCGTTTCCATTGTTGATGCAGCACAAGACCCGCACATGTCAGTAGACCAGCTCGACCACCAGCAAGCGTGACGCGTGTGTGATCGTAGTGTCACTCTATCATCCGAACACGCCATGAGTGGGAAGGCAAAGTACATTACTGCGCAGCAACAACGGTATGAAAAGGTACGCGAGCTGTTCCACAAGATACCGTAGGCCCTCAAGTCCGGCGAAATATGTGCATCAAGCGTGCCGTAGGTACAACAATGCGCGTCGTTGCAGAGGGCCTGGCCGTCTTTCATGCTCGATCTGTATTCACGGGACACCTGGCCAGGCGAAACTACCCGAACACGAAGTCATCAGCAGTACTAAGCGACACACAGACGTGTCAAGGCCGGCGTGTGCACGACCAAGTCACTCGCAATCCGTCGATTCCACGCCATTCGATCGACCAACCAGCCCACTTTCAACACAAAGCGTCACTCGATAAAGCTCGCACGCATGCTCAGAAGCGCATATCGTGCACACGATCGTTCTTCGTCAGCGTGAACTTGGCGTTCAGGTATGCGCGCAGATAGGGCTCGGTTGCCAGTTTCTGCATCAGCAGAGCGTCCACTGCATGTTGCTCCTTCTTGCGCTGCTCGGCAACTACAGGCGGCGGCGGCATCTGCATCACACAATGCGCCGTTAGGTCAATCGGAAAAGGATGAAGCCTCGACGAGCAATGGTACTTCAGTGAGGTGTCCTACACCCACTTGCCCAGCTTCGCAGCTGCACGGCGACGGACTGTAGGCAAAGGTTCCAGCACATACATACACGTCACTCACAGGATACTCCCTGGCTCGTCAACGTACCAGCGATTGTTGCGCTGCCATGAACTCTTCCTCCCTGCTGCGCTTCGTGGCCCGCCGGTCCTTTGTAAAGTACGCGTCGTCAATCGCTGGCAACGGAACGTCCGCGAGGTCGATCTGCGTCGACGTCGCAATGACAAACGACTGGTTCACCCGACGCAGCGGCACACCGTTCACTTTGTACGGACCCGTGGCGAGCAACGTACCGGACGGCAGCTGCTTGAGGAACACCACGCGCTTGCCACGGAAGCGGCCAGAGAGCAGGATGAGGATCGTACCGGGTGTGATGGACTTGCGCAGTCGGGCGGTCTTTGTGCTGTTGCGTCTCGTCTTGGCAGATGGCAGCGGCTTCGGAACGAAATCGGCCGAGTACCATTTCGTAGCTGCGCGCACAGAAGACGGCGGCTTGTGGACGTGCGTTGTGACCTTATTGGTAGCACAGCTGCGGTAAGTAGAGACGCGACTGGCGTTGGGTTTGGCCACACGACTGGCGGAGACGGCGCTGACGCTTTGGCTCAGCTGCGGATGGGTACGTTTGGTTGTTGTTGCTGTTACTTCGGACGCTGGACCGGTCATATCGATATGTGCCCTTTTGCGGGCGCGAAGGACGAGACTGTCAGTCGTGTCAGTGTGGGAAGACGGCGTTTGCCTGTGTAAGTCGGCGCGTCGGTCCGTCACGCTCGTGATTGGCTCAGTAGCTGTCGGGGGCGAACAATTGCTAGAGGGAGAGGTTCCTGCTGCTTGGCAACTCGCGAGAATGTATACCGTATCGCTGATCTCTGCTTCCTGAGCGTGACGATGTCGATATGAGAGCTGGGAACGCAGCGTAACTGGGGATTTCCAGGCAGGCACTTCTTTCGCAAGACACTGCGGGTGTGCTGAGGTTGCTACCAGTGTACCTCCAGACACTGTGGGTATCTGTGCTAGGGACGAAGTCAGCATTCGTGGAGAAACTCAGTGCTTACCTACTGGCGAAATAGATATGGGTGTAGCGAAACGCAGCGTGCCAGTCAAGCATCCAATGCACCAGAGTCGCCTGGCATGCCAAGACGCTGCAGATCTTGAGCTTTTGCAGCAGTTACGCCCATGTGGAGCTATCGCGGCTTGCTGGATGTGGTTGACTCCAGGAACAACACGTCAGCACGCGATAGCTTCCCCGAAGCGGTAACTTGCTGGATAGCTGCGTCGCACCCGACATGTTTGGCATCATGGCTTCAGTGCGGCGTAACAACCGCACCAGTCTGCCAAGATAAAATCAAGCGAGCCATCCAGAAAACTTTCGGCAATTCTTAGTTGCTGCCGAGGTCGTACAACCTTGTGATTCCACGGGCTTTCTTCTCGGAGGACCATCCGTGCCCGCAGAGAGGATGACATCATGCGACAGCATGACTGACAATCGCTCTGTATCGTGTCGATGCAAGTCGACGACGACAAAGGCAGAACAAATGAGTGTCGCAACATACCAAAAGGCGTGCAATCCACTTCAACAGGACCGATTGCCATTCAATTCTTCTTCACCTAATTTGCCTTGTGCTTCTCGTACAGCGCCTTTTGCTTTGCTTGTTCCTTGGCCAACTTCTTTGTTTGACCCTTGCTCAACGGCTCGCCAGCGACATCGTGCGTCGGCAGACCCTGAGGTATACACACACCAGAAAGCTTGTTAGTACACTGCAAAACCGATTCGAACACTTACCCGTCATCCTCACACTTACGTTGTCGTCGAACTTGGAGTACTTGTCTTTCATTCCCACAAACATATCGCTTGGCGCAATTTTGGCCTTCTCAGCAAGCTCTGCCTTCTTGCGGGCCTCTTCCTCTAATCGCTGACGCTTCAGTTCCTCCTTCCTGACCTTCTCCTGCTTCTTCTTTTCAATCTCCTCCAGCAGCTCGTCCTTGTTAGCCAACTTCCACACGGCAGCGCTACCAGAGCGATCTTCCAGACGCACACCAGCATACGGAAGTTTCTCATCGCGCACCACGTCGCACAAGCGCAGTACCACGCTAGCCAGGTTCGTACTGTCACCTTCAGCAGCTGCAGAGCGTGCGGCCTCACGGATCTCGTCACGGAACTGGGCAAAAGTGTCTAGCACAGGCGTGAGCAAAGTCTCTTGATCAGCGTCACCAGTGGCACCCGAACTGAGCGGGAGCCCAATGTCCGTGGCTGACGTAGTGAGCCCAAACACCGACAGAATGCGCGTGATGTACTCCGCACTGGCACGAATCAACATGGAAACCTGCTTCTCGATGTCCCCTGCCATGTAGCGATTGACCTCCTTGGCCAACTGCTGCAGATGCAGAAGTGCTAATGGCGTGTTGATGTCGTCGCTCAATGCGCTGAACACTTTTTCCTTGCATTCAAGAAGCGCGCCATGCAGCGCTTTCTCAACTGACGTCCACTTCTGCGTCTTTTCCACGCCTAACTCACGAAGACGCGCTTTCACGTTGGCGAAAAACTCCGTGAAGAATCGGTCAACGCCCACAGCTTCTTCCATCGAGTTATCGTTGTAGTCCATGGGCACGTTATACTTATGGAGCAAGAACAGGAAGCGCAGCTGGCGCGGCGAGTTGTCCAACAAAGCTTCCTGGATCTTCACAAAGTTCTTCAGGCTCTTCGACATCTTGAGCCCCTCAATGTTCAGGTGGCCTGTGTGTACAAAATAGTTGACCCACTGCGAGAAGTCAAAGTACGCTTCGGACTGCGCAATTTCATTGTCGTGATGCGGGAAACGCAGGTCAATGCCGCCAGAGTGGACATCGATCTTGCCGCCCGCAAGGTGCTTCAGTGCATCACTCGCCATCGCCGAACACTCGATATGCCACCCCGGACGTCCCTCACCCCACGGCGACGACCAAAACGGCTCACCGCTTTTCGACTTTTTCCACAACACAAAGTCGCTCACGTTTCGCTTGTCTGTCTGGCCGGCAGACAGCGTACCTTCACCTTCCGCCAGCAGCTCCGACTGCCCAACATTCTCAGGCAGCAGCTTACCGTACGCCTTGCCCTTTGAATTTCCAAAAGCCACTGTGTCAAAGTACACTGAGCCATTGCTTTCGTAGGCAAAGCCATTGTTGACAATACCCTCTACAAACTCCACCACCTCGGGCACGTACTCACTTACGCGAGTGATGACCGTAGGTGTTTTGATGTTCAGTGCTGCCATATCGTCGAGGAACGATTTTTCCCAAAACTTGGACAGGTCACGGGTGCGACGCATGTTGTCCTCGGCAGGCTGTTGGGCGGCCCACGCCATCACGAGCTTGGCTCGCGCATCCTTGTCCGTCGGCAGCTCCTCGCTGGCATTGGCTGCTGACCATCCAGTCTCAGCCGCTCGAACAATGATCTTGTCGTCAATGTCCGTGATGTTCATGACGAGCTCGACTTCCAAGCCAAAGTACTCCTCGAGAATGCGACGCACGTAGTCGAAACACGTGTACGTGCGACCGTGGCCCAAGTGCGTCTGATCGTACACCGTGGGGCCGCACATGTACCAGAGCACGCGCTTGCCTCGCATCGGCACGAACGCAGTCTTTGTGCGCGTCATGCTATTGTACAGCCGCAGTGGGTAGTGCGTCGTCCAGTACTCTGTCAAGCCATCGATCGGACGCGGAGGATACCACGTCGGCTGCTTCACGCTCAGCGTGTCAGTCGCCACGTGCGTCGTCATAGTCGCTCAGCCCAGAGACGGCGCGTCGCGTCAGCTGCGTCAGGAGGAGGAGGAGGAGGAGAAGTCCTATTGGATGCGAGTGCGGGCGAGCGAGCGGGTCAATGATTGGCTGCAAAGGCGCGCATTGACGAGGGCAGCTTTTGCGACGAGCAACTGCCGGTCGCTTGTTATGTTGCTGAACGGAGCGGTGGTGCCACTCGAGATTCCGCGCCATAGTAAAGCCAAGAGACACGAATCAGCACCGCCGTGTCGGTTTGTTTCGTGATCCCACGGTAACACCACATTTGCACGTCTGGACGACCAATGGCGCGCGTCTCGCTCGCTCGACTCGTGCTACTGCTGCTGCTGCTGCTTACTACGGCGTCATGCACTGCATCAACTGCAGCATCTGCAGCTCCTCTTCCTCCTCTCCGTCGACGGTTTGCTGTCACGAGACACAAACAAGAGCCGGACGACGCCAATGACTTGGAGAAGCGCGAGGTGGAGAACTGCGTGCCGTACGACATCCGCTCGTTCCTTGTCGGTGCGCGCGCGGTCGTCGAGTGGTCGACGCGACGCACGTACATCCGCAAGGTCAGGCTGCAGAAGAAGCACGACACCAGTCCGATGCTGGCGAATCCGTGGCGCTCGTGTCACGATGTCGCTGCTGACGTTGAAGTGCGGTACCGCCGATTGGGCGACAACGAGACGATGTTTGATGCAGGAGATACACGCGATCCGTTTGTGAAGAAGAAGGCCGTGACGTACACTACCGACGCAGACACGTTTACAACGCATACAGCGTTTTTTGACGTTCAAGGGACAGGGCAGCCAACGCCAGCGTACGAGTTCGTTGTTGGCTCTATGTTTCACGGCTGGTCGGCAGTGCATCGACTGGGTGCGAACGTTCTGTTTCGAGGTGACGACGCCGAACGGTGTCGACCAAAGCACGTGCACACGGCATACGGTCTGCAACCAGGCAGCTTTGCTGTGCAGTGGATGACAAAGGACTTTTGTGGGGATGGAAATGAGTCCTTGCAGTTGGTCGAAGGGTACCTCAGTCATATTGAAGTCGAAGGGCCGAGTGCTACTCCTGTTGCAGCTTGGGCCAACACGACGCTGTTTGAAGATAATGGCAAGAAGCAGTCGAAGCGTTGGCTTCACGTCGTGAGGCTGGATGGGTTGAAGCCAGACACTCGGTACACCTACGTCGTGGGCAATGCATACTACAAGTCGTGGTCGATTCCGTATGCCACTAAGACCGCACCGGCTCCGTTGCTCCCAGGAGAGAAGCCCAAACCCGCACGATTCTTGGTAACAGGAGATATTGGCTACGAAAACGCGGCCACGTTACCGATGATGCAGTCTGAGGTGGCGGAAGGAGTTGTGGATGGCGTGGTCTCTGTTGGAGATTACGCGTATGACTTGAACATGATGAACGGTCACGTTGGAGATATCTTCATGCAGGAGATCGAGCCGATCGCTGCAAGTGTACCCTTTATGGTATGTCCTGGAAACCACGAGACCCACAATACGTTTAGCCACTACTCGCAGCGCTTCCGGCTCATGCCAAGCAACGAGAACGAAGGTGTGCAGACTGTACATACTGGCGGGCGCTCGAAAGACGCAGACAATACGGAAGTGCCGAACAACTGGTTCTATTCATTTGATGCTGGACTGGTGCACTTCACAGTTATATCGACGGAGATATACTTTACGAAGACTTTGGACGTGGACGGAGACGTGATCTCGCGGCAAGAAGCGTGGCTCGAGCACGACCTTGCAAAGGCTAATGCGAACCGAGCGCAAACTCCCTGGATTGTCGTTATCGGGCACCGACCCATGTACTGCACGTCTGACTACACCAACTGCGGTGATAAGGCTGCACTGTTGCGCAATCGACTTGAGGGCAAGTTTTACGTGCACGGCGTGGATCTGTATATCTGTGGCCACCAGCACAACTACGAGCGCGCGTTCGATGTGTACAAGTCCCAAACGTGGAAACGCACTCGGAACATGCGTGCCACGACGCATATCCTGACGGGTGCATCGGGTCAGTACTTGACGTCAATCATGCGCAAGTCCTTCGAAAGACCCGCTGAGGTCTGGGACGCCTTCCGCAACTCCATCTTTGGTTATTCACGCATGGACGTCATGAATGCCACGCATTTGCACTGGCAGCAAGTAGAAGCGGACCCGGAGAATCCAGCAGCTCGTGGGCTCTACGGCCAGGTCGTAGACGACGTGTGGCTTGTACAGGAACATCATGGCGGGTTTGCATCCATGGGAAGAGCAAAGTCCAGTTTGCGTTCGGATGTGCAGCAATATGTACGTCGAGATAGTTAGCTAGCTAGAACATAAATTAACTGATACTTACGTGAAACTCAACCTAACGAGTCGCATAGCAAGCTCTGCAGCTCACTATAGGATCCACGTATTCGAGCTAAAGAACGGTACCGAGTTTTGATTACTTCGCATACCCTATTCGATCGGCGGCTGGAGATCGGAGAATGCGAAGCTTCGTAATACAGTCGTCCCTTTTATATAAGAACCTCTATAGAGGGTTAAATTCCTGCTTAAGGAACTTCGTGTCCCGCATCAAGCTGCGTCACTTGGTTTTTGTATGCTGACTCTATGTAAGAGACTTAAGAAAAAGAGTCTAAAACAATGCGCACCAACCACCAGTTTCCCTCTATATTGGACTTGCCACAGTCTCGCATTGCCGGCCACTTTGCACATTTGTTTCCGTTCCACCTTAAACATGTCGTCAAAGCGAACAATTCTGATGACGGAGCAAAAGCGTCAGGTGCAGGTGCACATCACACGCACACCAGGTACAAAACTATTCTAAATACAAGCTCGGCCTTCGGATCTCCACAACCGCAGCAGAACGGATTCGTCAGGCATCAACCAGCGCGTTACTTGCCACGGGCAGATAGTGCAATCGAAAGGTGCTGTTTCCAGCGTTTGAGGCTGCGTTCTTCGCATTCTATCGTCTCAATGACGGCAAAGCGATTCTCACAGACGATCTACTACTGTAAGAAGGTCGCTCAATCCGAGCCGCTCAAGGGACAAGCGAGAACGACCTGCGGCTTTCGAATGGGTGGATGCACAAATTAAGACTCGACACGTCATCCAGCAGCATGTGCTTCACGGCGATGCAGACTCAGTTGATCGCGCTCAACTCGCAGCGAATTGAATGGAGCTTAAAGAGCTCATTGGACAATAATCCCCACGATATGCATTCAATTTTGACGAATCAGCTCTCTTCTATGCCTACCTCCGAACAAAACACTGGCAACGGTCAAGAGCAACGTAAAGAAGTCAGAGAAGGATCGTATCACAGTCGCAATGTGCTGCAACATGACCGGGACTGAGAAGATGAAACTCGTTGTCATAGGCAAGTCGAAGCAACCACGAGCAATTTGCAAAGCCAACACCAAGCAAATGAAGTTTTTGTATTTCAACAACCAGACTGCGTGGCAAAACAGGTCAACGTTTGCTGAGTGGCTCCGGCATTTCGATGCCAAGATGTACGGGAGGCGATTGCTTCTCCTGCTGGACAACACATCGTGTCACTATGGCGACGCTGAATGCTACAATGTCAAGCTGGCATTCCTGCCGCGAAATATGACAGCACACTTGCAAACTATCGACGCAGGTAAGTTTAAAGGGATGTTCTCTTGACCAGCAATTTCTCATGTGTTTTTTTCTGATAGGAATCATAAGGGCATTTAAAGCGCGGTATCGAAAGAAATTTGTTCGATGGCTACTGGATGCAATTCACACCAGAATCGACCGAAAGTTGAATATCCTGAAGGCTGTGCGTTTCGCTATATCAAGGTTGAAGGAGGTACCCGAGCAATTGATTCGCAACTGCTGGAGCAAGTGTGCTATCGTGGAAGCGGTAACGACGGCCGATCTCACCCAACTCCGCGACTACAACAAACGCATCGATGGATCTGTCGAGGACGAGCTGACCAATCTCATGGAAGGTTTGACTTTCAGCGTCAGTGTCGTCGATTACATCGGTGCGAAAGGCGACGAGCCGATTGAGTGCAACTCACACGTGATAGAGTATGAGGCGATTGAAAACGACAATGATGGTGACTGTGCCGATGAGGTCACGATTGGGCCATCCGAGGCTCTAGAATGTTGTCTCCTTCTGTCATCATTTCTTTCGCTAAAACATGAAAGTGAAGAATTGACGAAGAAGCTGGTAAGTATCACCAAGCACGCTAGACAGCAGTGATCGATAAGAAAGACTCAGTGTTCCATGGATGCATTTCTTAGAATGGGTTCAGATTGACCCTCCATATAAGAGCGTTTTGTATAAGGAACGAGGCAAAAACGCCACACATCTTGGTCCGCTATATGGAGGGACGACTGTACTGCCACAAAGTAACAGGTTGATCCTGTTACATGTTTATTAGTTAAATTTACCTGTCAATGCAACTGATATCGCCATAGATTGGAATTAGATTGCAGTAGCTCAAGAAGTAATTTTCATCAAGCTGGGCGACACACGTCTCATGGACTAACATAGGCTATGTTATTAGCTTGGCAAACGACCAATGGGTATGCTGGACGTGTTGCAAGAAGTGGTGAGCAAGGTTTCATGATACATGTTTGCTGTTAAATTAGATCAAGCGATGTTCTACGGTAGTCGATTAGATGACTTTGTGGATGAGTCCTTCTTCTTCACCATAACTAATGTATACGGTTGCTTGACTACAGTTTTTAATACTATATACTGTACAAAAGTGTCCGTGCACCTTGCTGTCTTGAAAAGCGATTTTTGTCCACGACGCATTTTCAGAGCTGATGCTTCATCATGTTTGAATAAATGCCCCATTTTTCGTACGATACATGTGCTGTATTTACCTAGATACTTCAACACTTTTCTATACGACTGTGCTATTCGTTGCTTCTCATTATTTTAAACCGACTAAGACTCACATGTCGTGAATACATCTCGTAGATTTTGGTACAACAGAAAGTCACTCTCGTTCATCCAAATATGCGTATTTGTCTCACTTCAAGGGAAAATTTGTACATTATACATTACACCTGGATACATCATGATCAAGGTAGACGACTTTTACTACTTTTAGTATAACTCAGGGTTAATCAAGATTAATTTAAGCTTTTTCAAACCAAATAATATGAAAGTATTGATCACTTACTATACATGGATACAGAGGTTCTCCAGTTACATGCACGCAAAACTTCATTATTGTTTTGCGAAGTTGAAACGTATAAAACATTGGGTTTGTCCGTCAATGAAAATTATACTCGGTAGAAAATATGTTGATCGATAAAAATGCAGCTATCTGTAAAGTGTACAAGGTGGTAGCGTTATCTCTATGTGTCTGTACGCGAAGTATGGTTTTCGATCATAACTGCAAAGTCGCGGTCTAGCAGTTCTTAAGCTTATCTATATCGAAACCTATAAAATAAGTCCCACCATTCATTGCCAATTAAAGATCAGCTCTCTATAGTAGATAAAGGATCGCCTTTCAGCGCTACAACCTTCGCCTCATAACCGCCGGCAATAAATGTGACACGAATAATGAGATACGCGTGCCTCCTTTTCAGTAAAGAATTCCATTGTGCTCGCGAGCCACCTCAGTTGCCACTAACTTGACTATAAATTATGATGATTATATAAAAAAACGGAATCTTTTGGGGTGATGTTTTCTGTGATATGGTACCAGACTTTAAATCGCAGGACTATCTGGGACGTGGAAATTGGTCAATTTATAAATTGTAACTGTAACATTGAAACCGGGATACTAAAATGAGTTCTGCATACACCAGGATCAATTTGCCTATTTGAGACAAAGAGCTAGATTTTACGATCGATTCGATATGGGGCGCAGCTGATTAAAATTGAAATATGCCGGGTAGAATAGACGGTCCACGACCCGAAAACAGCGAAGCGGATATTGGTTAATTGTTAGAAATTGACCTTTATGTAGTCGGAATGTCGATCGTGACACAACATGATTATGACTATGGCTGTAGTAATGGGAAACAAATGTGGCTTAAGATGTTCCGGTTATTGCTTCATGATTAGGCAATCACTTGTTGATTTCATTTACGGTGGACTAAGAAAGAAAACGACCAATTTGGTGGAATAAATATGAATTTACAGATCGTGATGATTGATCTAGAATCATATAATCATATACATGTATGCTTTAAACTTCCGATGATAGCATATGCGCGTACAATTACAGCTTGAATGTCGAACCACTTTGATGGATGCACGACACCACGTCGATTGGCAGTAGACTACTTGTCAAAAGGTTGACCAGATCTCAGTATCGAGGGTTTCTAGCATTTGACCCGTTTAAAGATCAATACGTGTACATGGAACATCGTGTGTCATTACAATACTTATTGTTGATCCTGGAAGGTTCTTTTAATAATTTATATCGAAGCATCGAGCGCGAGTAGTCTACACGGACGCCGCAGATTTGCATCATATACAGTTTAAAGTTATGCAAACTTATATATACACCCTATTATATATTAAATAATATAATATATGGGTATTGTTCGATTACTGGCTTGAATACTGGAGTACAACACATGAACTTTTGGCACGTAGCCCAGAGACGCAATTGTGGAATATGAAATAACAAGATAGAAATGCTAGATTTAATGATAATTAAGGATTATTTTGCTATATACAACGGCGTAGTTAAAGGTCCGATATTGATATGGTCGAGTTATACAGATAATTATTGCCGCGCAATTCTAGCAACGACACGCGTCTTCTCTCTAAGGGAAAGCTTACTTCGGCTTTTCGAACGAAAATTAATGCGTGATCTAAATGTATGAAGATTAAATGTTCATAGCGTTTGATTACTATTAGCAACAGTTCTTACAAGTAACTTCGAAATGCAGTTATACCATATTTAAGTCACTGAACATACAAGAGCAAAAAGGAATATTTCGCTAAATTGTGAAATCACGAAGCCAATCTCGAGGCAAAAGCCAATCTAGAGCATAAGAATGGGTGGTCGCAATAAATACAGACAAGCGTGAGCAATATATTTTTCAAAAAGAAGACCAACCTTCTTGACAAATTTGATCGCTCTACCGTTATTTAAGACCAGGAGAAGGCTGAATGAGTCTGTAATATTATTACTGATTAGTACTTGACAAGATTCAATGCTATCCAGTATTTGCGAAAAAAATCGACCGACCTTGAAGAATTATTATAGTAAATGGCTGTGTAAAGATTCTCTCACCGAGGTCGACTACTTTCTGCTATTATCCGAGCAATATCGACATCTTCCAAGGTCAATGCAAATATCTCAAGCTAGCAAATGGGT